AAACCAATTTGCATATATTTTACATAGTGGAAGGGCCGTCGGAGATTTTTTGGAAAACAGGATATCTGGTCACTCATACGCCGCGTGTGCCACAGGTTGAAGGGAACGTGGAAAACAAAAGAAGGCGCAGCTACATTAAAAGGAAAAAAACAGGCTGTGATATTGGCGAATATTACGCATACCGAAAAAGGCACTAAAAATATTTTTATTAATTTACAATGATATGTAATATAAATGCGACTAATTCTACGAGTGTGTAATTCTAAAACCCAACTTAAATATTTTGAAAGTCATATTTTTGGATAGATATTTCAAACGTTTTATGTTTATAAAACATAAACCATAAATCTTACTATTTAAATTTTTTTTTGACTATTTTCCGAGTGTAGCTTCCAGTTGGGAAACTCAATCTCAGTCTCGGTTTCGGTTTCATGTCTGAGCTGGCTAATTGAGCAAATCCGCCAAAAGGGCTTTTGTTGGCCCACTTCCGGTCGTCCTTTCTGGTGCCCGTATTTATAAATCAATTGTTGGTAGGGGCTCAGGGTTTGGTTTGCCTTTCCGTTTGAACGCCATTCGGCGGTAGTTTGGAGCTGGGAAACGGGAATCGAGATGCGGGAATCCCGAGATATGGCAGAAAGTTGCGTGACATTTGGCCAATCCCTCGGGCGGTATTTCCCAGACTGCCGCCGCTGCAGCTTTCCGAGGTTCGTGCCTTTTCGCAGGTCTCTCTGTTTGCCATCGTCCATCGCCGCTCGTTTGCTTTCAATCTGCGTCTGGGTGTTTTCAATTTCTTCTGGAATTTGTTTTCACGCAAAAAAGCGAGCGAATCAGCAGAATTTCATAACCCAGAGTTTGCCCACGGCCCACACAGCTGCAGATACAGATATGGATTTATGTGTACCCGTACGTATAATGTTTTTTATGTGTTTATATTTGATGCGTTCGTCCCTGCCGGCGGTTACTTTGGGTGAGTTGTTGGTGTGGGTGAGTGTGACTTCTTGTAAATATTTTCGCAGATTCGTACACCCGCGGCGGCTGTGGGAAATGGCCCAGTAAACGTTTAATAAAATATGATTTCAATTGATTCGAAACTCGCATTTAAACCGACTGGTGCTCCAGATAAACATATATACGTGTGCCGTCCCGCCGGCACAATCAATAAAGCAAAAAACAAAATGCCCCAAAGAGAGACTCTTCATCCTCATCCTCTTCCTCATCCAGTGCTGCCATCACTCAGCTTGAAAAACAGGACAGATAAGCCAAAAAAAACAGGGAAAAAAAGGACAAAAAATTTTCAAAAAGGACAAAAAAAGGGACAAAAGTAAATGCGCCTCCATTTTTCTGTTTTACCAATGGGTTATATAATTACTTAATTTAAATGGATTTTATATTAAATTCAATTATGTAATGACCTACTGCGCCCGACTCACATCCTTCTTTGTTTGATCATTTTACCATGGTTAATTTTTGTGCGTATACGTAATAATCTAAAATTATTAAAATAATAAAAGCATTTCAAGTAACTATATTGGTAATACAAAAAAATGCCATATCTGCGTCAAACCCGAATAAGGGCCGGTTTCTCGAGTGCCGGCTAACATTTCTCGAACAGATAAAGTCCCTGCTAAGGCATTTTGGCTTTCTCGAGCATAAATGTGAGAGCTAACTTTGACAGGGACTCGGAGTCCCTGTTAAGCGTTTTCGACTCGATAGAATGACAGCTGATTTCCCAAAGAAAACTAAGAAGAAGAAACGAAATCACAGCTGACTTTTCCTTAAAATTATACCCAAACAGCTGATAAAATAATCGAAGCATGCCATTTTTTGCGCTTCACAGCACAATTCTGTGCGTTAACAGCACTCTGTAATTGTTTCTCGTTCAGATAAATTAAAGCAGTCGAGAAAGCGGATTTGCTTTTACGAACAGTTTATCTGGTATTTAAGTTTTTCGAACAGATAGCTATCAGGGACTTTGACAGGGACTCGAGAAACCGGCCTTAAGAGTCGTTAAAATCTGAAATTTTTTTCTGACAAAAAAGCAGAGAGTAAAAATTGAGAAATTTTTAAAGTGTTTTCCTCTTTTTTTGCTACAGAAAAAATCGTACTATATAAAAAATCCATCGACTGCTTTACGTCTCATTGATAATTTGTAAAAATAATTATTTTTTTAATGCCGAACTGTAAGATTGATGGTTAAAAAGGCGTTTTAGCATATAAAAACAGGTTTACACACTTTCGACTGGCAAAAATAACACTCAAGACCTTTTTTTTGAAAAAAGGACAGATTTCCGGATAGGGGATGTTTGAAATTTTTTCCGGATAAACCCGTTAAAAAAAGGACAGATCTGTCCGGAAAGAGGACAAAATGGCAGCACTGTCCTCATCCGTATTCGAATTCGTACCGGCATATCCGCATCCTTCGTCGTCGGTCCCTTGAGACTAACGTTCGCCTTGACTTGGCCCTCGGTTATCCGCTTAGATCACTCAACTAAAAAACTCAATTTGCATATTAATATTATTTGGGTTTTTTCCTGTTGTTTGGCCTTTCCTCCGCCTTTCATCCTTTTATCAAACAAAAAGAACAACAACGGGCGGAGAATCAACAGTAGTGAATTGAATTTGCTCTGCTCCGACGCCTTTTCGGTCGTCCTTTGATATGGCCAGGAATCGGGGCATACCCACACATGAGCAGCTGCTCCCAGGTGCATACCCCCTAGCCCTCCCAATCCCCTTTTGCCCCTTGGTTCTGGGCGGTCCTGAATCCCGCCTTGTTCACCTGGCGCACAAAGGCCTAGCTGTCAGTCAGTGTGTCAGGGCAATTTCGTTTTTATTGGAATTATGTCCGTGTTATTTTAGCATAATCATAAAAATGATTGTTTGTGGTCGTTCGCCGAGACAGGAAAGCAATGAAGCGAGTGGATTAGGAGAATGATTTCATTTTAAAGTAGAGCAAGGCATTGCAATTTAAGCTCTTATCCTCACCTGTCTGTGTATTTTAAATGAATCTTAAACTTAATTTACCTCAAGCACCTCAAACAAACTTAAATGAGCAGCTTTGGGAATTTCTTTCATGCTAGACTTCTTGTAATTTATTAATAATTTAAATAATTCCTATAAGACTTTAAGTGAGACACTATCTAATACCAAAGTAAGCCCATTTAGTGTTAAATATTTAAAGTTATTTAAGATTATAGAAATTGTCCTTAAAAGGTATTAATTTTAATCCTGAAACGAAAATGAAACTAGAGCTTGAAAATTATCGATAAATGATAGTATCGATATTTTCGATACTTTATCATTATCGTATCGATAATATCGATGTTTTCAAGGAAAGCAAAGACAAATTAAAAACAGTTTTATAATTCTGTTAATACCACGTATTATTATATACATGCATAATACACTTGCATTATTATTAATATTATTATTAGAAAAAATCGCGGTTAATTTATTTAATTTTAATTTCCGATTTTCATTATTAAGATGCAATTTCAGACTAAAGGATCCTCCTCTTAAGAACTCGTGGTTTATTTATTTTTGATCATTGAGTTGAATTGCGTCACATGTCTAGAAAGACACCAATTCTTAGTCAAAGACATTCACGGCTTCTTAAGAATTTTTTTTTTAAATATCTTATGGGGAAATACTTATGTAAAATAATATAACAAACCTTTGTTCCATCCCATTTTTTGGTACTAAAGAAGAACAAATTCCTCCTCTTCTGAAGAATTCCCGGTTGCTTTTTTTTTGATCCTTTGCCAAAATTGCTCAAACGGTCTTCGATTTGTTTGTTGTTGGTATTAAAAGAACGAGACTTCCAACTTTCCCCAAGAAATCGCGGTTCTTTCATTTTCGATTTTATGCCACAACCTATGGTTATTTTCGCCAACTTTAATTAGTATCAATTACCATAAAGAAGTAAAAATTCCTCCTCTTCTGAAGAATTCGCGGTTGTTTTTTTTGGATTATTGAGTCCAAATCGCTCAAACGATCTTCGAAAAGCGACCAATTCTTATCAAAGGCTATGAATTCGCGGTTTCTTGAGATTTTTTGATAGCGGACAGAAGGTCGGTAGCTGCAACCAAGATTTTGTTTTTGGTACTAAAAAAAACCAAAGTTCCTCCTCTTCCCAAGAACTCGCGGTTCTTTTATTTGCCATTTTTTGCCATAACCTATGCTCTTTTCGCCTATTTTTATATATTTCATATTATCTATGGGACCAAAGAAGAATAAAATACTAAGAACTCGCGGTTCTTGTATGGTAACTTGTCCCTACTTTAAGTGATTTTGTATTTAAAGTTATTTTGGTCCTCAAAATTAAAGAGTGAAATCTGTTCGTTTCTCTCTAATAAAACGTCAGAAAAACATCGATGTTATAGATAAACATCGATGTTTGAAAAATATCAGAAGTATCGATAATATCGATACTGACATCGATAATTTTCAAGCTCTAAATGAAACACCTGAAACATTTAAACTTTAATAATTATTATCTTATTTAATGTTTATTTCTAAAAATATTTGTCTAAGGGATTAGGTATTAAAGTACCACACTTTTTTGTCCTTGAACATTATACGATAAAATTTAATTGATTTAACTGACAATTACCCACAATTTAATATGAGTTTCAGCATTTTAAATCAAAATTCAAAATTTAATCAGGTATGAGGAGCTATCTGTGTTGATCAAATGCCATATGTTTTTCCATTGAAATTGTTTTATTTTAAAGTAGAACCCACCCTTGAAGCCTTAATTATCACCCCCCAGATTAACTCCAAACTTTGGCACTTGATTGGAATTCCATATCGAAAGCAAATCAGCAACGGGGTTGGTTTTGTGACTGGCTTTTGGTTTTGGTTTCGATTTCGGGTTTATTTTGACAAACGCAAATGAAACTGAATAATTTATGATTGGGTCATGAATTTAATATTTCATCAGGCCGGCGGCAATTAAAATTAGAATATAAATGGGAGTCCGTCCGGGGGGACGTCGAGCAGTCATGTCGTTCCTTCGCTACAGGCCCCGTCTCCCCGGCGGAGAGTTGGCTCCGATGCCCTGGCCGGTGTCCTTGTACCGGACCCTAAACCACATCGCCTGGCCGCTGGGGGCGGACTCGGGTCGCTGTACCGTTTTCCTGGACAGGCTGCTGATTTTCCTGGGCTTTCTGGTCTTCTGCGAGCACAACGAGGTGGACTTTCATTACCTGATAGCCAATCGCCAGGACATGGACAACCTGCTGACGGGCATGCCCACGTATCTGATCCTGGTGGAGATGCAGATACGCTGCTATCAGCTGGCCTGGCACAAGGATCGCTTTCGGGCTCTGTTGCAGCGCTTTTATGAGGAAATTTACGTGTCGGCGGACAAGGAGCCCCATCTGTTTGCCAGGATACAGCGGCAAATGCTGGCCACGCGGCTAAATTCCACCGTCTATCTGCTGGCCCTGTTCAACTTCTTTCTCGTCCCAGTGACGAATGTCATCTACCATCGCCGGGAGATGCTCTATAAACAGGTGTATCCCTTCGACAACACGCAGCTGCAGTACTTCATCCCGCTGCTGGGACTCAATTTCTGGGTGGGCTTCATCATCACCAGCATGCTCTTCGGCGAGCTGAATGTCATGGGCGAGCTAATGATGCATTTAAATGCCCGTTATGTCCAGCTGGGCCAGGATCTACGTCGCTCAGCCCGGCGGCTGTTGGAGAGGCGTTGCACTGTGGACATAGCCTCCAGTTATCGGCGGACTTTGACGGAAATCCTGCGGAGAAATGCTGCTCTCCGGGATTTCGGCCAGCGGATGGAGGAGGAGTTCAGTCTGCGCATCTTCGTCATGTTCGCTTTTAGCGCCGGTCTTCTCTGCGCCCTGTTTTTCAAGGCTTTTACGGTGGGTAATAGTGGAGTGCTAAAGTAACTGAAAGATTTAGATCGCAGTATTCATCATTCAATCTATCGGAAAAAATTAATTAAATTCCCGTTTTTATACCCTTGTAGAGGGTATTATAATTTCAGTCAGATGTTTGCAACGCAGTGAAGGAGACGTTTCCGACCACATAAAGTATATATATTCTTGATCAGCACCAATAGCCAAGTCTACCTAGCCATGTCCGTCTGTCCGTCTGTCTGTCTGTCCGTCTGTCCGTCTATTCGTCTGCCCGTTTCTATGCGAACTAGTCTCTCAGTTTTAAAGCTATCGCGATGAAACTTTCCCGAAAGTCTTCTTTCTATTGCAGGTAGTACATATGTCGGAGCGAGCCGGATCGGACCACTATATCTTAAGGCTTCCATAAGAATATTCAAACAAATATAAGAAAATTCATTGTAACTTAGGAAGTAGGAAGTAGGCGTTTTGATTCTTGACTACTTAAAAAAAAATTTAAATAGAGTGAGCATTACTTTATCTGCAAGGGTATATAAGCTTCGGCTGGTCGAAGGTAGCTTCTTTTCTTGTTTAAATTAAAACTTTTAAAAAGTATACAGTAAGGCTCAGATGACACATTCAATTTATAACGTCAATTTATTGTGGCAATTTTTCTTTAATGGGACTTTAAACGAGCGCGAGAAAGAATCAAATATTTTTGGCTTCTCTACCACTAACACCAATAATAAAGGCGCGATATCATATTAATCCTGACCCGCTTGCACTTCTTTAAACTCACACAAATGAAAAATTCTCACAATAAATTGACGCTAAAAATTAAATGTGTCATCTGAGCCTAAGTAATCTCAAAATTCGTTTCTTTCAAGCAATATTTCTTAGCTCCGAAGATTTTCAACTGAAAGTGTAACGAACTAGACTACTTTTAAAATTTGCTTTTCAAAACTAAAGTATTTTTTTCAGAATCCCTGGGGTAACGTGGCTTACATTGTGTGGTTCCTGGCCAAATTCATGGAGCTGCTGGCCCTGGGAATGCTCGGCTCTATTCTGCTCAAGACAGTAGGTGTTATTTCTATAAAATTCTCCTTACAGTCTATTCAAATATTATAATTCCCCTTGCAGACAGACGACTTGGGTATGATGTACTACACCGCTGACTGGGAGCAGGTGGTCCATCAGTCGGATAATGTCGGCGACAATGTCAAACTTATGAGACTGGTGAGCCTGGCCATCCAACTCAACTCGAGACCGTTTTTCATTACCGGTCTGAATTACTTTCGAGTCAGTCTAACTGCAGTGTTAAAAGTGGGTTACTTTTTGGATAATTTCCATTGGCTAATTTATTTAAATTCCATAGATCATCCAGGGCGCCTTCTCCTACTTTACTTTCCTAAACTCGATGCGATGAGCATCGTTTGGGAATGCTGCAATAATTGTGTTGCCAATCATTTGGAAGTTATACGTTTCCTGACATCATTTGTGGCCTGACCCCTGGCCATTTGTCCGCCCCGAAAACAGGATGCATAACTCCACACCCCTTCCCGTTTACCTTTTGTGTGCTGGATATCCGCTGACAACAATGGAGCTTTCGAGCGCATTCAAGGATATTAACACGTGCATGACTGTGATTTATGCACCTCCCACTGGAGGAGTAAGTGCAGTGGCAATGGCGACGGCAAGGGCAACTGCAACTACAACTGAAACTGCATCTGCCAGTCGGAGCATCATCAATCCACTGGCTCTCCACTCTCGACTCCTAAGCAGCACATTTAGAATGGGCGAAATTTGCTGCTGCGTTGACAGCTGCAATCCGAAGACGGTACCCGGCATATATCCATATCGATATCCATATAGCCATAACTGTCAGCCATGACTGAGTGGCAGCAATTGGCAGGGGAGTGCGGCTGCCGTAGATACCGTGGCACTACTCTATATATACATATATCCACAGATTGGAGAGTGCAGTACATGCACTCATCCACTGGCAATGGCACAATGCAATATATCCCCTATTCCAGCGCTTACAGCTGTGCCCAAAATAATAGATGTAATTGCAAACTTTTTAAAAAAATAATAGTTTTATTGAAACTTTAAAGAACTTTGTAATACATTTGCAAGGCATATACAATGTATGCTTGGTACACTTAACCAATGGAAATGCAAAAAATATTTCAGAAAATAATCAAAGCAATTAAGGGGCTTATATAAAAGTGAAAATATTATTAAATATTTGTATTTGTAATTAATATTTTCTTATAATTTTTTGTAGAGAGAATTGTCGCCCTATTTATTCTGTCCCAAGAAACTGAGACAATAGATGGTGGCAAAGCGCTCAAAATATTTTTCCTACCACTTTCTCCATACTTTGCAAATACTATTATTTTGAACACAGATGCCATATAGTAAGCATGCATATTCCGTCTGTGTGGGTATGTGTGGGTACATAAATCGGGTAAAATGTCGTTACAAATATTTTATAACAGGAAATCCGTTATTTATACGCACATTGTGCTGGCAGTGGGAGGAGGGATGGGGAAAGGGGTGCTGGGTTGGTGAGTTTGTAGGTGGTGGTTCGGTGTTGAAGGAGATCAGCAGAATGCAAAGGCAGCTTCAATCGGCACTTGGAAAATATGAATGAATGTTGTTTGCCAGTCGTTCGCCAGTCCTGTGGTACTGACGCCCCGACTCCCCTTTATAAACCCACCCCAACCCTCCTTCTAGAGACCATCAATTGCCTGATTGAAGCGACAAAATGCGAAATCCTTATGAATTGGCTACAATTTTATTTATTATTACTCGTTCTATTTGCTGCCTTGTACTGCGAGTGCTGCACTGTGAAGATTTATACCAATCTATCCTACTTTGTGATTTAAAAATGTATAATCTTGTTTAGAAAATGTTAAAAATAAATTATGCTTTGTAAAGGTCTCCCATTCACTTTTTAATAATTTTTTTGAATTATTTTAAAGTTAGTGAACTAAATGATATATAACATAGTCCATACAGAATTTAATTTTAGTTCAAACAAACGCTTTGGTTTCTTTTCAGTGATATTTTTTTCCGTGTATTTGAATGGGGGATCTTCGCCCCATCCTCACTCCCTACAATATTTCCAATCTTCTGCAGCGTCTTCACAATGCACTGCCGTTCTGGCGACGAACGACTTGTTTTGAGCCAAACAAAATGACGTTCCCAAGGCGATTCCATTATGATGGCCTGCAAAATGTTGGCAAATTGCAAAGGCGCAATTGATATTGGCTCTGTGGATTGTGTGAACAAAGTGCCAATACCGTCAGCTAAGGAAATAATAACAACAAAAAAAAGACTGGAACATGGTCCAGGGGGAGGAGCTGGAAATGCATAAATTTGCGATATAATTTCAATGGTCAACTAATAATTGGGTCCTGATGGCAAAATAACATTAGAATTTTCCATTAATAAAAGCAAGTCGTATTAAAAAGCGTAGGAAAATAATGGCAATCTATTGGTTGTATTTTTTTTTAATTCGAAAAGTGGAGCAATTATTTTGAAAAAATACAAATATACTAAGGTATGATTAAGACATTATTTATTAATGCATTTGCCAAAAACTCAATTATCAAAATGGATTTAAACAACATTTATCTTAGTAAAACTTTACCTTACTGTCGTTACCCTCGAATTTCGCGGAAAAATGATTACCATTGGATTGCGAATTTTTTGGAATTTATATGAGGAATTAACATTGCGGTTAAACCAAGTTCCCTTGCAATCGAATTTCAAAACTGCGTTTCCTCTCCAAATTTTTTTTTAATTTTTAATATCTGTCTAGTTTACTGGTAATAAATTGTTTTCTATTTTGTAAATAATCAGCATTGGGTTTCAAAATTTCAACGTTACGTCTTGGCTGTACAATTTTTTTCTAAATGACCAGGATCCTCGTTAGCTGGCGGTGGGTCTTTCGACGGATACACTTGCACTATGAAGTCGTTGGCAGCATCGCCGTGTTCTGTCTTCTTCTGCTGGGTGTCCTGGACTATGGCTACCTCTTCCACGGATGGGACCTCCTCTGGTGGAGGCAAATGGTGCTGAAGCAGGAGATTACTCCGCTGTCTGTCATGTTGAACATCGGTGGTGTCAAGATGGGCATTATCCTGGGACACGCACTGTGGAGCTACACTCGACAGGCGGCTGCACAGCATCTGCCGGGCAATCAGGACATGCCCATCGCTTATGTTCGAAGGCGGTACTGCCGCTTTCTAATAATGCGCCTGCTAGCGTCCTTGGACAGGCTAATCCATCACCATCCTCGACTGGAGGACTTCCAGCAACGGCACAAGGATTTAAACGACGCAGTGGAGCTCTTTCGCTGGGAGGCCCGAAAACTCTTCGAGCGGACGGATCTACAACTCTGCCTGCCTCTCCACGAAGTCCTGCCTGTGGAGGATCTGCAGGAGGAGGTCCTACTCCACCAGGGCTACGGCGAGAAATTACTACAGCTGCGCGAGCTGGACATCCAAATGATGGTCTACGAGATCTGAAGGGGTTCCGGGGGTGAATGTAGAATGGATACCAACCGCTTTACCACTTGCCAAACTTTTTAATTGGGTTTCGGCAACAATCTTGGGCTGGCTGTTGTTAATTTCACTTTGCCAACATGTTAATTTTAATGCAGCACACGCATGTGAGTGGGGTCCAAAGTCCCCAAAGTGGCAGATAACTTCGCTGGAGTGTGGATGGGGCAGATGTCGTACTGGTGTCGACGATGGCAACTTGGCGTTAAAGTTGCTTCAGGAAAAATCAAAGTACTATTAGAATAAAATATAAAATTATATTTTAGAGGTTCTTTAGTTTTATTGCAATTCATTCAAGAACAAGAAAACAAGAGTAAAACCTTTTTCCTTGTACTTCACTGATATAATCAGCATCACAAGACGAGTCGATCTAGCCATGTCCGTCTGTCCGTCTGTCCGTCTGTCCGTCTGTCCGTCCGTCTGTCCGTCTGTCTGTTTCTACGCAAACTAGTCTCTCAGTTTTTGAGCTATCGGGACGAAACTTTCGCAAAAGTCTTCTTTCTATTGCAGGTAGTATATATGTCGGAGCCGACCGGATCAGACAACTATATCTTATAGCTCCCATAGGAAGGATCGGAAGAAAAAAACTTTAAAAAATTCTAGCTTCGGTGTTTTTTGAAATATTACCTTCTACTTTTGGGGATGTTATTATACCCTTGCAGAGGGTATTATGATTTCAGTCAGAAGTTTGCAACGCAGTGAAGGAGATGTCTCCGACCCCATAAAGTATATATATTCTTGATCAGCATCACAAGACGAGTCGATCTAGCCATGTCCGTCTGTCCGTCTGTCCGTCCGTCTGTCCGTCTGTCCGTCTGTCCGTCTGTCCGTCTGTCCGTCTGTCCGTCTGTCCGTCTGTCCGTCTGTCTGTTTCTACGCAAACTAGTCTCTCAGTTTTTGAGCTATCGGGACGAAACTTTCGCAAAAGTCTTCTTTCTATTGCAGGTAGTATATATGTCGGAGCCGACCGGATCGGACAACTATATCTTATAGCTCCCATAGGAAGGATCGGAAGAAAAAAACTTTAAAAAATTCTAGCTTCGGTGTTTTTTGAAATATTACCTTCTACTTTTGGGGATGTTATTTTTTAAATATTTCTGAATTTCGAATTAATTATTTAAAAAATCGGACACTATATCATATAGCTGCCATAGGAACGATCGGAAAATTAATGGAAAAGTAATAGGAAATAAATTCTAGCTTCTTTGGTTTTTATTGTTTATCTTCTACTCTAGGATATAACTCTTTTTAAATATTTCCGAATTTCAATTTTAATTTGATCAAAATCGGACGACTATATCATATAGCTGCCATAGGAACGATCGGAAAATTAATGAGAAATATTAGAAAATTGAACATTTTTGCGATTTGTTAATTAATAGGAATGATCTGCAAGGGTATATAAGCTTCGGGTGGCCGAAGCTAGCTTCCTTTCTTGTTCGGTATGCTTTTCATCCATTGGGGCTCTTATTTTAATGTGAAAATATTACATTTCACATGTATAGTTTATTTAAATGTTTTAAACTTTGATTTAAATAGGAAATATATTCTGTCTTTATTAAAATATTATCAAATTAAATTAAGCAATCTTTTATGTCTTATCTTAAGTATTATGATTTTGTATTTAATTCAAATATGTAATACGCATCATTGCACTCAATATGCAGATATTTATTTCTACTCTTTCATTTTTTATCAGTGTTAATATATTTTCTATAAATACATTTAGATTATATTCTTAAGCTTGATATTTATTTCTAGAAGTCTGTAAATTGTTTTTCTTTCCTATATCAGAAAGATTCCAGGCTGATCCGCATGATCATACCTAAGTGCCTTGCGATAATCAGGCAGCAAGGGATTATAACGACTCATGGGTTGCTGGGTTGGTGGTCTTTTGGTTGGTGGCCTGGCCATCTGATTTCCAGGCCCACCTCCCTCCCTTCGCCAGTGACCCACGGGACGCAGTTTCACCGGTGGAGCAGAGTGCACCGGATTCTGCTGGTAGAAGTGCTTGTGGATGGTGACCGGTCTCAGGTTCAGTTTCAGTTTCTCCGCCTGCTTGTGGGCCAGCCACCGCTTGCGATCAAAGGCGTTCACATTTCGCTTCACTCCGAACACCAGATGCAGGAAGGGCTTGACCAGCACACTTAGGGCTACGAAGCCCAGGAATCCAAAGACGGCGGGGGAGATCAGGGTGAAGAGGAACACGCCCAGTGTAAAGGGATTGAGGACCGTGAAGAAGGCCACAAATTTAACAAACGGATACAGAACCTGACCGACGTGGCTTAAATACTCCTTTTTCTTCTTCTTGAAGATGCTGTTGTGCCTGAGGAGGTACTTGATCTTGCTGAAGGGACGATGTGTGGTAGTGGTGGTCACCGTAGCTGGCTTCTTGGTGGTCAAGGCGGCCAGCAGAGCTGTGGGTATGGTTTGCACCTGCAACTGGTCAGCCGGCGGATAGGGATATCCGTGGGGATGGTGGTAGTACGGCTGCTTGGTGGGATTGGCAAAGATCACTTGACCGGGCTGGAAAATTGAGTGCTCCTGATGATCTTCTGGCTTTTGTTGCTTCTTCCGCTTCTTTCGCTTGCCCTTCTTCTTCTTTTTCTTGTCGCCCTTGTCTCCCTTGTGCTTCTTCTTCTTGCGCTTCTTCCGTCTCTTCTTGCGCTTCTTTCGGCGACGTCGACGTGTCCGTTTCCGGCGTCGTCGAATTCGTTTGCGTCTGCGGCGAATGCGTTTCCGTCTCCGCTTGTTACTTTCTTTCGCCCGAGATTGGGGTTTCAAATCGGCCTTGTGTTCAGCTAAAGGTTCCGTGGATTTAACGGGTTTTTCCACTAGATAACCCTCTTTGAGATCCTTTTTAATTAAATCTTCTACGAGGGTTCCAACTATATGAAAGGGTTTGACCGTGGTGGTGTGTTTATTTGCCTTGATTAGGTGCTTTTCCAGTTTTTGCAGCACATAAAAGGGCTTAACAGTTGTGGTACTGAGCTCATAGGCCCTTTGATCCTTGTACAACTCTTCCAGGATATCGAAGCTAGTGTTTGGCCGGGCCTGCAGTCGCTGAGACTGCTGCTCCTGCTCCCAGTCCAAGTGCTGGAGGACACTGAAAGGCTTCACTGTGGTTGTGCGCCGCCATTTCGCCTCAAAGTCCTGCTGCAGTTGATCGAAAACATGGAACATGGGCTTCCCCCGGACCAGGTCACGCCCTTTGACCTCCCCGGGGTGCGGCGCTGCTGGCAGCAGTTGCGCACACAAAGTTTCGTATATTTTTGCAAAATTAAAAACAGTGAGAGCCGGGCCGCTAAACTCCAACTTTGCTAATCCATCACGCCCGTGGCTGCGTGCCTGGCCACAGTTTTGTGCGAGCAAAATCAACAGAAATGTGGCAAAGTTGCTAACACTTTTGGCACTTCGTCCCTGCTCCATTTCGATTCATTTTGCCGGCGGAGCGGAGCGGAGTCCTTTTTCCCTTCTTGGCTTTGCGATTGAGTTTGATGTTTGATTTAATTTCAGCCTCCACTCCAGCGCTGGCCAACTACAACTAAAGTCCGGCTCTTGCCCATTGCCACTTCATCAGCTTGGGAGCCTCGGAAACTCGGGTAACTCGCCAACTTGGCCAACTTGTTGAGCTTGTCGACGGGGTCAAAAGGGGGAGCAGGGCCCATTTCACTTTTCGCCGACTCTTGATTTCTTGTTTCTGTTCTGTTCTGTTCTGGTTTGTTTTCGCTTCTCCCCAGAGTTTCTTCTTCGCCTGTGGTTTCCGCGCATAAAAGTAAAATTTATTACTACTTAGTACATTATCAACGGGCTCTGCTACTCGCTTTCGGGGCTTTTCCCCCTGCCATGTTATGACAAATTCCCCTATAGCCAAACAACTTGCAAAGCACTTAATTATGTTTTGGGCACAAATACCGAAAACAGAAAACCGAAAACTGCTGCCCGCCAAGAACCGGGGCAAAACGAGGCCGAGACTATCACAACACAAATTATGTGAACTGCCATGCAAAAGACTTTGGAAAGTACTTGGTGGCCAATTGCAGTTCCCATTTTGTTGCCGCTTTTTTGGGACCTCCAAACTTTTGCCCGGCGAACATGCACATTCACAGGCAGATTTGTAGGTTTCCGTGGGTCACAGACCCCTAAAAAACGAATTTTAGACTTAAGAAGCCAGTTTTATAAATCTGGCTGTAAAACAAAGTGGAGAAAAAGGTTGTTTTGGCGGCTAAGTAATTCCTTTTGAGTATATTCTCAACTTTGTTTTTGAAATATTATTTATTTTTTTTATTTTATGATTGATTTATTAAACTAAGTCGTTTTTATCCATATTTTGCTTTACCATATACACTTAACAGGAATTATAAACTATGCTTTATTATTATAAATTTTAATATAATATTATTATTGAACTAATTATTTCAAGTGCTAAAAGGTATCCCAAAAATTATAATACCTTCTGTAAGGCCATAAAATGGTATATTTTCATGAGTTTTGGCAGGGGGCCCAACAAATATCTCGCCTGCTTTTGTGGGGCAACATGTGCCTCGGTTCTTTGATGTTTGGCCATTACATGTGCTTACAACATTAGCGCTGTGCTATCTGCAGACAATGCCACTTTGAATTGCCATTATCCTAATTGTTTATTATGGATTTCGATCGGATACTGCGATGGCATAATGCCTGCGTTTTACGATCTAATCTTTCGGTGAGTGTGTATGCACGCACATTAATAAGCCGTAATAAAAACGCCGTAGGTAAACCGAGGGACAGGTGTCGATAAGCGAGTTGCGATTGTATTTAAAGTGTAAGGTGCCCGGGGAAATGGTATCCTAGTACCACCCTCTGAAACCGACCTGCAGCACTTATATTGACAATTAAGAAAGGCATGCAATTTGAGCAATTTGCGGCAGGGAGCCTTGATTGGCATGCTGTAACCTCGCTCTGCGGACTAGCCATCGCCACGTTGTCATGACGAGCAGCTGGCCAACTCAATTTGATTGCAATTTTACCGGAACACTCTAATTTACAGCAAAGTTAAATAGAGAGGGAAAACAGAATTATTATGATGTCGCTTGTATCGTAGTTAGTAAACATTAAATTAAAATTCAAAATTAAACCGTTGGCAGTGTCATAAATAAAGTACTTTAAACAAAAGTCAAAGTCTATATACAACACATTTTATTCGAAAAAGGAACTTTTTTTGCAAAGTTATTTATTATACTTTATGTTTGTTTTGAAACGCATTCTAATTTATGAATTATTTCTAGTCAAATATCCAGAAATAGCTTAAATACCACAGGAACAGAAAATTTGTGAGATTTCCATGATCTTTTTCTATTTGTCCCATACAAACTTATGTTCCATCACCTATAGGTTCCGTGGTATAGCTAAAAATTCAAAAACCGATTTTTGCCGACATTTGGTATTTTGTGTACTATATAATTGGACTAACCTTAATTATTTTCGCTGAAATCTGCTATTATTACATCACGGCATTCCAACCCGATTGTGAACCATTGTTCCAAAATTTTCACGATTTCTCTGATGGAAAACTAGTTCTATAAATTAAATATATTAAATTGAACTAATTTGTATTATTCATGGAATAACCTGTTCACTGCATGCATTAATTTCGGTTTGAGGCATTATTTATCATGGAAAAATAGGAAAGGTTGTGGAAATCTTTGGCTCTGTACCTGTGTAATTAGCCTTTACCCTATTTAATATTTATTCTGCTCATACAATTCTGGCATATAAACAACAAAAAAATCACAAGATTTCCATTTAAATGGAATACTAATGTCTAACTATTTATCTTATTAATGAATTTTCATTAAATTATGGTTAATTTTATGCTATATGATATCAAAAGTATTTGTTTTCATTTAATAGCCAATAAATTGGCATTCATATTATTTATTTGATACCCGATATAAAGAGAATAAACCGCTGATGGCCGCTTTGATAAAATATTTTCTTGTGTACTCTGAGAGGAGAATGTCAAAGCGATAGGAATTTCGTTATTGGTCGCTAGGAAAGCCACAGACAGGGGTAAAGTATATATTTTGTGACGATATGCAGCACTTGCTCCGGGGCCTCCGCTCCATCCACCTGGCAGCCGAACTCCGGACCGGAGTCAAGATGGATGCCTGTGAGATGCGGGAGAAGCTGAAGTTTGAGTTCTCGGCGGACAACCAGCGGAGGGTCAAAGCCCTGCTCGCCTGGTATCCGGAGGCCGAGTGGAAGGGAGCCCTGCTGCCCCTCCTGGATATTGCCCAGCGACAGCAGGGATGGCTCTCGATCAGCGCCGTTCATGCCGTGGCCGAGACCATTAAGATAGATCCCATGAAGGCCTACGAGGCGGCCCAGTTCTACACGATGTTCTTCATGAAGCCGCGCGGCAAATATGTGGTCAGTGTTTGCACCTCGACGCCCTGCAAACTGCGCGGTGGCGATGAGATATTCGAGGCGTGCAAGAAATCTCTGAACTTGGAGCACGGTCAGACGACTCCGGATATGCAGTTCACCCTGAAGGAGGATTACTGCATGGGCGCCTGTGTAAATGCTCCCGTTCTGGCGGTCAACGATGATATGTATGAGGACCTGGACGAGAAGAGTCTGGGCGATATCCTGGCTGCCCTCCGAAGTGATAGGCTGCCGCCTGCTGGTCCGCAAAACGGAAGATTTGCCAGCGAGCCCAAGGGCGGACCGACCACTCTGAAGACCCAACCACCGCCGCCCGGCTTTAAGATGCAGGATCTGCCGGATCCGAGGACCAAGAAGTGTCAGTAGCCATTGATTAAGTCTTAAAGCAATAAATTCCGCCTGCCATCCGCAAAGCAATTCGCGGCCCAGACTTCCAGTGGTTCGGGGGTCAGGGTGTCACGGGTTTGCAGGTCAACAGCTGTTGTTTTGCTAAGCTCCTGCTCAACGTCCTCGCATTCGCCTCCGTTCGCCTGCCACTGCACTTTATCCCTGGCCAAAGGACATGCCTTGGATTTCTGCAGCGCTGGCACAATAAACAGACAGCAGCAATGACAAAGCAACAAAACAACAACAGATAAGGGCTATGATAGCTACCGCCGAACTTGAAATGCCCTTATATTGTGACAGAAACCGTTTATTTGGTTTCTAAACGCTTTGCTAAATATGGGTTTATTATTTTATTCCACACAAAAAAGGGACTTGAATACATAAATATGTTCTATATGTTTGTTTTCGCGTTTTATTCCCTTTTTGTATGAAATATTGTGATTATAAATTTTTAAATATTGCAGGTGAAATGAATTGAACAAGGATACTTCTAGAGAAAAAAAACTCACCGGGATAAAAACGATATGAGCATGGTAAATTTCTGATATACGCATATCGTTATTACCTTGCAATACCGGTTTCTTTATCTCGGAGATTCTCTTATTTCGAAAAAGAGAACAATAAGCAATATGGCGACTTAAATTACGTGAGTGGGAGCGAGAATAATAAATTCTCACAAATAAAAAATAGAGCGGAACTAAAGTTACATGAGTGGGAGGGAAAAAGACATTTGAAATTCAAACTGGCCTCCTTAGAACATGTTTTTTTTTATTTCGAGCATATCATATCAACATCAAATAGATCATCAAATCAATTTTTTTTGGGTGTACAGTTGATAAACCATTTTCATTAAAAATACATAGTTAGTAGACGTTACCCTCAAGAAATTTCAACCCAACGGCTTTGGTCCAACTGATTTGAATAACTTTGCGGCAAGGGTATAGCCAAGCCCCATGTCCTGTCAGCCATGGCAGCAAGCAATCCGGTTTAGTCTTGTCCTTTCGCCTTCACCCTTTTGCCACCTCCCGGTTGCCCTCGCCACCACTTCCCACTCCCAATCGGCACTCCCCTTTTGCGGTTTCGGTTTGACCCCGGGACCCGGCCTGCATTCTAATAAAATGTTGCCAGCAGCGAACAACCCGCGCAACGAGCAGCAAACAACGGGCAACTGTAAAAGCTGGCGGCGATGGCAACAACCCGATATTGTTTTGGCCAAAATAGTTTTAATTGTTGCCTGCTTCCCAGCCATCGCCGGTGCCGTTCCTTTGGCACTCGCACAGTCAAATTACAATGGGTATTTTTCAGTTTTCATAAATCTGATTGTCGCCCCACTTCAATGGCCATCAACAAGCGGTTGCCAGCTGAAATGCCGGCTCGCCCGCCCACATTTCCCCAAACCATTGTCCCATCCCCTTTCCATTTTCCCCGTCGCCTTCCATTTCCCAATCCTCTCGCCGCCTGTCCCAGCGCATGGTGTTGAATTTTTAAATGAAAATTGTTGCTATTGAAAGTTTTTAATTTGTGTGCGTGCGTTTTAATTTTATTTCGCGTCGGTGATATTTTCATCAGCAGTTCGGCTCCCATGACTTTGGCAGGCCATTTGGCATTTAAACCAAAATATAAGATGGGTAAGATTATGGATATAAAGGATACATTTGTTACATCCTGTTCTGCAAAAATTCAAATATAACTTAAATTATTTATTTTTAGTCAAATTGAAATTTTAATTAAAAATCGATTTAATTTTACATTAGTAAGCTCTTCGCTGAATTCTTATAGACAGATTGTTATTTAAAATTGTAAATTAAATAATAATTTCTTACCTACATACATTTAAGCTATGTTGATTGTATTAAATACATTTTAATTTCAATTGACGATGAATATGAATATTAACAATTCATAAAGGTGTGCTCAAAATAATAATTTAATTATGTGAGAAGTGGAAATGTCATATAACTTTACGTTTCAATTACTGTTTTATGTCACGTAATCGCAATGAGGCCTGTTTTAAATTAATTACAATCTGTGGGGTAGAGGCAACTACTTAAAATTTCGCGTACGATCTGTGATGCCCTGAATGGACTACTTTGTATTTCTAATTGCAGCCTAGGGTGTGTAATGTTCTGTTTGACAAAGGCTCCATTTTCCCGGCTTTCCGTTAAGTTGTCCCCCGGCTCGTTGGCCCACTCCAAAAGGCGGGTCGCATTTTGCGTGATTTTCGCCAGCAAAAACGGCACCTTTGGGAAATTAATATCCTTTTTGGGGGCCGGGGCACGAGGCGAGTAACCCGGCAGGAGTGCCAGTTCCAGTGCCAGTACCGGAGTGTAGCAACAGGAGCCCGAGGACCAAAATCACGTGGCTGGAGCGCGTGAGCAGCGCTTGAACTTTTTGCGGCCACGTTGCACGTCCACGCCCCCAATTCCGCCCCCATTCCGCTCGATCCGCTCCACCGCCCACCGCCCACGGGTCAGGGCTTTGTTTTAGTTGCCGTCGCTGTCGTTGACAACTTTTGTTGCCCTCGAACCGCTTACCGCTCTCATAACTGCCGACAGTCCTGGGTGTCCTTGCCGTTATCCCCGCCAGATTGTATGGCCTTTGACCGCCCCCACACGCTTTGCGTAACTGCGCGTTCTTTATTACTTTTTTGGTTTTTTTTTTCTTCGCTTTGCGCAATTACTCGTTACATTATTGCATTTCCTACTGCTGATATACACGCATAGTTGACCGAGTCGGAGCCAAAAAGGATGTTCCCATAGCCAGAGCGAAATAATTAGAAAACATCTCGTCGACAGGGGAAGGGGAAGGTTAAAGAAGGATGCGCCTGGTGGCCACTTCCAATTGCCACTTCTGTGCATCTGAATGAGTTGCATTTTAGCATTTCTCCGCTTTCGCCCCGCGGCTTTGTCGCCCTCACAAAAAAGTTTTCATTTGCATGTTTTTAGTTAATTGAATTTATGCAGAACTTTCCGCTTTGGTGCTCTGGGCAACGGCATTTATATAAGCGCCAACTGGCTCAAAATATTAAGCATACGCCCCGCAGGTCCGCAGAGCTTATTAGCCGCGCTTCTGCTTCGAGTTTCCATAGAGCTCTTACACCCTGCCAAAGCCATTTAGCGGGACGACTGACTCTTTGACTCGGCCAGCTGCGGATGGCTTCCTCTCGGTGGCTTTGATTTCCTTTTATGTGCCAGCCATAAAGTCCAAAGAGTCGAGAACCGAAAGGAGCATCAACTTTATTACATTCCAGGAGCAGGAGCATCGTTGGAAGCCATGTCATCAGCTGGCCATAAATGCCTCCACTGCTTGCCCCAAGCTCATTTGATACACAAAGAATATTCAAGATTTTCGAGTTCGGTTCTGTGTTTTTTATCATGATCTTATTCTTAAGTGTTGTTCATTATATCAAAACTATAATATTTTCTGATCATAAAATGGTCTATTTATAATAATCAACTTCTTTATTTTTATAAAATATTGGTTTATAATACAAATTGTCATATAACTATAATATATGTCAAGGGGGATTGATTCTTAGTTTGACTGCTGAAGAAATAGAAAATTTATATATTTCAATTTTTTTTTTTTAGTTGTTTTATTTGATGTTTATTTATTTTTAAGGCTTTTAAGTTTGACACTCCATAAAATATTGTTCCATTTAAAACTTCACTTTTAGTTGTATAACTAGATGATTATGGTCTTAGCTAATTAATAAAAGTTAAATATAGCTGATATATTTATTTTACAGCAAATTACTTCTAATAAAAAAATACATAAATTCTAAATAAAAACCTAAAATACCCATTAGGTTTTTATTGGCAGATATTTGCAAATTTTAAAATAAATAAATAAATGAAATTGTGAAACTATTTATGTTATTTTGTTTTTTTCCCGTGTACTCTTCACACATGACACTGCGAAGACTTGACGGCTTTTTGGTGCGTTGTCAGCCGCATTTAAATTTGATTTTTATTAAGCGCAGAAATCAAAGTGGAAAATTTATCTTCAGTTCCGCCCATAATGGTTGTCTATCTGAGCATGCCAGGAATATTTCAGGCTATTTTCTTTGCTCATCCTTAACGCAGACTCTCGTATATAAAAGCAATTTTATTGTTCAAGTTGTGCTGCTCGATAGGATAAGCCCCTCATTTATGCCCGTTGCCGGGCAACATGTTGCCGCTGCTGAAGTTGCCTCGTTCGGTTGCCGATTCCCACACCCCCGCCCCTATGTGTCCCGCCCACTTGTGGGCGGCTTGGTAGTGGGAGTGGCAGGCGGTAACTATTAAAGTGCTGTTAACTTTATTATTTCGAGCACTTGTTGTATAATGTGGCAACGCTGTCATGGCAACTTGGAGCCATAGTTTTCTGGGAAAAAACAAAGAACAACAGCAGGACGAGGAAAACAAGTCGGAAGGACGAGGACCCAAGTCATAATTTGTCAAAAGATGCTTGGCAAATATTTGTTACAAAATACGTTTTCTATGCTCAGCTCCCCCACTTCATAACGCAAGTTTTGCTGATGTAAATTCTTGACTTGCTCCCCCTCATAAAATATATTACTTTCAACTTTATTTCTCACAAGTGGCTCGGTTAGAAAAGTTGCTTAATATCAAAAAATACGATTAAACAAAGTTTTCGGCTTCAATGCATTTTTTAATTAAAACATCGATATGTGTAGGCAAACTTATGGGTTTATCGTCTGTTTTCTTATTATTTTGTGTATTTTTTGAATCGAATATAAATGTATGCGTGCCTTCTCCTTTGCCATTTCTGGCCACATTTGCATTTATGAAATTTAATATTTATAAAATGTATAAATGTAAACCTTAATTTTCCATAAGTCAGTCAGAATTTATGACAGGAATAAGTTACATTGTTTGTTGTATAGTATGCAATACCATGTTAACAAGAATATTATTTAATTAATTCGAATACGAAATGAATAAAATGCACTTCAGGGCTTACACATTCAAAAACGCCATTTAATACTTTATC